CGGGCTCGTCCACGGGGAGGGGATCGAGCAAGGTGGAGAACTGCGGTTCCAGGTTAAAAAAACGCTTGTCCTGGGCGTTGGGGGGGGGAGGGGGCCCCGAGGAGGCCAGCTGCCTAGAAACCATGTCTGAGAATATGGGCGGGACAGGGATCACCTCAGTTTCCGCCACGGGCTGAGAGAAGAGAGAGTCGGGAGGAACCCCTGCCGCCGCTGGGTTGGGTGGGGGAGGGGGGTTCAGGCCCGAGGTGGTCCTGGCTTTGAACAGGAGGGACCTAAATAGGTGCGGTTTAAAGAGCCCTAGAAACGCGGGCTGACCTGGAGGGAGGCCCTCGTCCTCCGACATGTCCCCTTCTAGGGGGCCTGTTCCCGAAAAGAGTTCACTGCCTATGAGGGACCTCATGTCAAGGTCCTGCTCGTCCCCAAAGAGGGAAGGGTCCCCGGGTTCTTGGGCCTCCATTCCCTCCATCTCCAAAGGTAAGGTTAAGTCCTCTTGGGGAGTTGCCTGACCATGCGAGGCCGCTGATCCTAGGGCCTCGGGGGCCGCGGGCCGAGGAACCGGACCGGCCATCTGCTGCATCTGTTGCGCTACCCTTTGCCGGATGGCCAGCTCCATAGCCTGCATTAGGTTTTCGGGTATTTCCGCCATGGGGAGAGACTCCTCCGGGCGCAGTTCTACAGCAGTGGTGGGCAAGGTGACCTCAGGGGCCTGTCCAGGCTGTGGGGGAGAAGCAGAAGCAGGAGGGGAGGGGAGAGGAGGATGGGTGGAGGTTGATGGAACGGAAGGGTCCCGGGGCACAGAGCTTGACTCCTGAGAGCGTCTGTCAATTTCCCTTTCGAGGGCCCTGTGTCGCCTGAGGGCATCCCTTTGGGAAGCTTTGGATGGTTCCTGTGCCTGTTTGCGCAGGTGGTGGGATTTGGCCTTGGCCTTCAGAGAAGTGCCACGAGAGGTATTGTCGTCTGCCATCTGGAGAGGAGAGAAAAAAGGAAAAAATTTTCTGGTTAATGCGAGGCGGTTAACGGGTCTGGGTACAGCCTAAGCAGAGGCTGGAACTCCCAGTGCTCGTATTGCACCCCCTTTTTTGTCAAGGCCACAGAATTGTTCTGTAACGTGTTGGGAAGTAGGGCCTAGCCCGGGGGCCAATCAGCCAGAATAAACGCCAAGCTGTCCCTGCCGGGCGAACCGGGGAAGGGACATGGCAAGCAACTAACTCCTTAGTTGTGGGGAGACTTAGGCAGGATTGCAAGGTATTTGAGCAGTTCCAGGATCTGCCCAGGAGTCAGGGAAACAGTGCGGCCTACTGGTAGGCCTCTGATAAAAACCAATGACCCTGGGGCCGCAGGCAGAAGGGAATAATGTAAGCTGAAACCAGATCTGGATGCGGCCTACGGGAGGCCGGGAATCCCAACGCACGTTCCACGCCCCCCTTTTAGTCAAAAAAATTTTTTCTGTTTAAAATAGAGGTTTGGTACGAACCAGGGCCTAGCCCAGAGACCAATCAGCCAGAAAGGTGAACGCCAGGCAGCTACCCCTGCCGGACGGACCGGGGAAGGGGTGGGGGGGGGCGGAGCTGCTACTTCGCCTGCTGGGGAAAAAGGCTGCAGGGCCAACGGGCCCTATTTCTGCAGGAGGCCTGTTGGTAGAATGAAAGACAGGCTGAGACGAGGGAATCCCAGGCTGCCTAATAGTCAGTTAAGGCTGCGGCCTGTAAAAGGGCCTCTAGAAATGGCGGATGGCCATGCGGCCACTCCCAAGATGGCGGCCGTTCCAGGGCACACCCAAGATGGCGGACGCCACAGGGGGCCCAAGATGGAGGCCGCAAGTAACGGAGGCAGCCCCAGCGGCGGTAAACTCCCAGGGAAGATTAGAGCCTTTGGGAGAGCCAGGGAAGCGTACCCTGGGCTAGAAGGCGTTCGCGGGGGGGGAACGGCGGCTAAAGCGAGGAGAGGCAGGCAGAAACGAAGCGGCCTCGCGCGGAGCGATTAGGCGGCAAACGAAGCGGGGGGGGAGCGCTCGAAGCGCTCGTTTTCTCCCCTTAAAGAAACGGCTCGGATATTAAAAACACTCCCTGGGGAGTTCAAACCTGAGTTCCTGCGCTGCCTGCCGGTGATCCACGTGAAAAGCGATGAGAGAAGAGGCCTAGAATGCTGAACGACCGGAGCAAGGGAAAAAACAGCCTGTTTGCCACGAGGCTGAGCAAAAAACTGGGGAGCGCCCGAGGACCACGTGACGGTGAGGGGGCGTTCCTCAATTTCAAGCTCAGCCTGGAAGAGCCGAGACTGGAGCTCCTCCCAACCTGGACGCTCGAGACAGCTCTATGGAAAAACCTTCCTTCATGGAATCGGTCTCTGGTACCCTAAAGGTTGGGGGCCAATGTTCCCTAGAACAGGATTCTCCAAACGTGGCAATTTAAAGACTTGCGGACTTCAAATCTCAGAATTCCAAAGGCCTGGAATTCTGAGAATTCCAGCCTGAGGAATTCTGGGAGTTGAAGTCCACAAATATTAAAGCTGCTAAGTTTGGAGACCCTTGTTCTAGGAGCACAGATGTAAAGGCAGCCCATACAAACCACAACTTTCTCTATAAGCCACTGCCAAATTCCAAAACAAATTTCAATACCCCTGGAACATTCAGGTTAGACAGAAAGCTAGCTTTCATCTTGATAGGTTTATCAGTTGTTAATATGGCATTGATACTTGATCAGTTATCAATAGGGCATTTGCTATGGGGCTAAATAAGTGCACGATGGTCCTTGTCATTCTGGAAATCACAATTCAGGAACCTTTTGAGGTTCTCTTGTGCAACAGATGTGAAGCAATGTAAAAGATGTAAAATAATTGGAAATTTGATGGTCATTGTGGGCTACTAGATATGAAATTGCAGGATCCAGTTTGGGTCGGGAACAGAGTTTTAGTCTTCTGAGCTTTTGGACTTGTACTGGAGTCCATCCTCTCTAGGGAGAAATTTCCTGAGGATGGGTTCCAGTACGAGCTGAAAGTTCGGAAGACTAAACCTCTGGTTCCTGTGACTGACCCAGATTGGATCCTGCAACATTACCCTGGGACATGTATATTTGCCTTCATTTGTGAAATACGAAATTGTTGTATGCCAAATTAGGGGAGTTAAGGGAACACCCATCTGATAGGCACTGTGTTGAAGATAGTAGCTTTCACTGGATGTATTTATTTAGGAAATTCATTTGTTCTCCATCTTGTATGCTACGAATCTAGAGGTGAACAGCAGTGAGTCTGAACAACACTGTGTGAGTCTGGCATTTTGGTGTTCTTTGCTAGAGCAGAGAGAGGCAAAAGGGTTCCCCTTTGGCAGCTGCACATCTGGGACCCAACCGGACATTTTTAAAACAGGATCAAAATAATGATATAGCAATATGATATCTGCAAAGCAAAAGACCAGCAACTTAATTTGCAAGAATTCCTCAGGACCTCAGATAGACATGACAGGAAGTTTCAAATGGGGGGTAGGGAATGCAATTGCACCCTATACTTTATTGCTCAAAAAAAAGGGGGGGAGAAAAATAGGGGTTAAAAAGCATTCTTGAGGCTAAAGGAGAACAATTTTGCAATATTTTGCTTTAGGATTAATTGATGATTTGTGGTTGACTGCATTCATAATGGTGGCTGTTTTGTGAGCAGGCAATGCTATCTCCAGCAACCATTTTGTAAAGGTATCCAAGGTATGCTCTCAATTCTTCCAGTTTTTTTTAAAACTGGCCATAAGTTTGCTTACCCCTCTGCTGCCGAATATATATTTTTTCTCATTAGCACATTATTTTGTACTCCTTCCCTTCGAAGCCACTGGTAGTTGTACCATCAAGAAAAACATATCTTGATGAAGAGATTTTCAAAGTCAGGCAACAGACATCTTTATCTAAAAGTCAGACGAGGTTTCAACCAACCAGTATTATCTGCCCCAGTCAAGAGATCTGATCCACATGACTCAGTATCCTGGGCAAATGAATGAAATTTGCTCTGCAAGATCTTAAAATGGAGATCAGCAGAAGTCTGATGACAGTGAAAGCTACACTCCAAATGTTTTGCCTTAGGGGTTTAAATGGTTTGGGCCTGTCCTGATCACACCTAGCAAGGAAATGAACATTTTGGACAAGCCAAGAGTCACTAAAAAGAGTTACTAACACATAGCAAGCACTGTGTATTGTCCCAGGCCCAGATAGGGAGGGAAGAGATAACATTTTCCTTTAGCAAGGAGCTACTTCTGGATACCCATTTCTGTAAGTTCTGCAGATCTTCTGCATGGCCCTCTTGGCCTAACAACTGAAAATAAATAGTGAGTATATGCCATTAAGCAAAGCATGTGGTGTGTAGTTGTTGGGCGTAGAAGTTAGTGGTGCTTCCTACCGGCATTTCAAAACGTTTTGGGGCTTCCAATTTCTTATCTCTAAAACTTGCCAAGACTGCTTTGAAAATCTTAGAGAAGGGGGATGTTGCAACCCTTCGCGTTGTTTGCTTTACTATTCAGTGCTTGTCAGTTTAAAGTGGAGGAGGAAGCTTTTCTGTTCCATTTATATTGGTGCTCAGTGGATTCAGTGCCGATCAACCTTCTGTTTTGTTTGTTCTCCAGCAATACTTAAGATCTGGGGGAAACCCAGACCTTCCAAAAATAAAGCACGATACACAATAACTACAAACAATTAAAGCACCACCTTCAGAGGAAAGAAAATCCACTTCCTCCAGACTTCGCTGCCAAAAACATGTGCCACTTTTAATATTATTCCATAGCATAGAGGTAAACAAACTGAATTATGAACAGGGCAGTCTTGCTCCATTTCCTCCCCCTGTGCCTTAGGCAAGCTGCTAGCTATATCACTTTTCCTCTTAATTCTCAGTCTGTGCAGCTTTTGATTCATCTTGCAAGTTTGATATTAAAGCTACAGAGTTATAAAAAGTGACACGTATGTTTTAAAGCTTCTGTGTGAAATCTAAATTTTTTCACAATACCTTATTGCTCTTTCTTTCTATTTCAGCTCTGCACTACACAGAGAATGTCCTGACAAATGTGCAGGTTTCTCCTGAAATGAAGAACATTTGCAAGACTCCATGAACTCTTAATTCCAGTGACACATCTAGAGTTTGATAGAAATGGCCCGGGATGCCAGATCTTCACGATTAATTAAAAAAGAGGAGATAAGCAAAAAGAAGCTGAGTCCTGTTAAAAAGAAATCTTGCCAAGGAACAAAAGATGCCAAAAAAGAGTCCTCAAAGAAAGAGTGTCCTACAAGCTGTAGAAAATCAATCGAAAACCAAAATGGTGGCAAGAAAAAATCCCAAAGATGTAAATCTCCATTAAGTTCGCCATGCCGATTTCTCCGGAGCAGCGTAACCAAAGCCTTTTCTGGAACATCTTGGATGAACCTGGAATTAACTGATAATGTTCTCTTCCACAATCAGCCTCCTTTGAGCTACGGTGGGTTTTCCATGACTCTCCGCAGGAAACCGTTTTCCCATAGGCTGTTTCAAGCATCGACAATCACAAAAGCTAAGAAGAGCGGCCCAAGAAAAAGACAGCAAGTCAGATCAGGAATTTCCTCTGCACTAGAAAGGAAAGAAGTTGAACAGACTACAAGAGCCTTTGCACGAGATTTAAACTTGAATAGCGAATTGCCTTCTCCCAAAGGAGACAAGGCCCCATGTTCTCAGGAAACAGGCTGGTCCTCTGTAGATGATAATCAAGCCAAAAAGAGAGGGATAATGCACCCCTCGAAAATTTCTGTTTCTAATAATGGTGTGATGGATACTTGTAATTCAGGAATACTAGAAGAAGAACACAGATGTGAAGAATTTGTTTCCAGTGAGCAGGCCCTGGAAGATTTGTTTACTAATACCTCAAATGAAATTTTGTCTGAGCCTCTTCTCCATCAATTACACCTTGACTTTGACACTACTTTAAGGGTACAGGAAGATGAATTGGGGACACCTGTAGAACCATATGCAAAGAGTAACCTGAATTTACTTCCTGTCCCCCCAGAACATTTATGTTCACATTCCTTTTCCATGTTGAGCCTTTCCTCAGAACAAGACCTGGCGTTGCCTAATAAAAGTCCGGAGACTTCTCTGGAATCTCATTCCAAAACTGAACATGATACGGTGCTACATCCCTGTGTATCTGATGCTGCCATTTTGATTACCTCTGAACTGATCTCAAAATTGCACCTGGATGACCCGTCTGCACTGCCAGAACCCCTGAACAAACCAGATGCTGAGCCTCTGATTGCAGAAGAGAAGTGTTTGCAGGGTGCCTCTGGACCAGAAGGTTGCTTCAAAGAACCAGGCCTTGGAGGAGAACCCCCTACACCAGAAGATCTGGCGCTGGTGCCAAGCAGCCAAACACTTGATTCTTCTTCTTCCCACTATAGCTGTGAGCCACCAAACGAGCAGTCAGTCTGTGAACAGATTTCTAGCATTTCTTTGAGTAATTTCGTCTTGGATGACCTTGAACGGACGCTTGAAAGGATCGCTGCAGAAGCATTTGGTTTCGATCCAGCCTCTGCACCCTGTAATCCAGAAAGAAACACCACTAGTCCAGTCAGCAGGGAAGCGTCTGAAAGAAGTTTCTCACAGTCCCCTAATGCAAGGCTGCCCTTGGCTACAGGAGAGGGGGAAGAGCCAAGGACAGCGCCACCTAACAAGTACGTTCCGAGGCACCCGGATCCCTTGCTACAGCTGGGAAGAGATGGAAAAATCACCAACTGTCCCCAGGATCCCAAGAAATGTGACACCAACACAGCGGTGGCATCCGAGCCCTCCCCTTTTGAATCTCCAACTGGTGGGTGCCTCGCCTCTTTGCAACCTGTGCTGGAAAAGAAAAAAAGAAGGCGCTGTGGAGTTTGTGAACCTTGTCTGCGGAAAACTAACTGTGAAGAGTGTAGCTGCTGTAGGAAACGCAAGACTAGCCACCGGATATGTAAAAAGAGAAAATGTGAAGAACTGAAGAAGCCCCCACCGTCCATTCCACCTTCAAAGCAGCCTGCAGAGGTAAACGGATTTGTTTCGATATTGCTTGAATTACTGGAATTTACGTGTCTGAAATCTGTTTGCCCTTCATGAGAAATAATGGTTGGATTTCTGATTGTATGAGGTACACTGGAATCAAACTACTTAAAGCAGGGGTGTCCAAACATGGCCACTTTAAGGCCTGTTGGACTTCAACTCCCAGAATTCCGCAGCCAGCACATGGCCAATGTTAGCAGGCATTAAGCAGAATGCAGTTCACATAATTTTTGAACAGTTAAGAACAGGCGTTTCAAAAGAGGTGGTCAGTTGAATACCTTGTTATCATTCAAAATATCTTTTGGTATTTAATTGTGATTAATGTTTTGAAGGTGATGGTTAACACTCCACTCTCTTCTAGAATAGAATAAAAAAGATGGAAGGGACCCTGGAGGTCTTCTAGTCCAGCCACCTCCCTGCTCAAGCAGGAGAACTTATACCATCTCAGACAAGTGACTGTCCAGTCTCTTCTTAAAAACCTCTAATGATGCAGCACCCACAATTTCTGGTGGCAAGCTATTCCACTGGCTAATTGTCCTCACTGTTAGGAAGTTTCTCCTTAATTCCAAGTTGCTTCTGTCTTTGATGAGCTTCCAACCATTGTTTCTTGTCTTGCCCTCCAGTGCTTTGGAGAATGATCCTGTTCTCTTCTAATAACTGAATGTTGCTGGTTGGATTTATTTCAAGATGTTAATGCATTTCCCGTATGGGCCGCATTCAGAAAAACTTTTTGCCTTGATTTCAAAACTTTTCTGTTTCCTTTTACATTCTGTCTTACAACCGTTGTCTTGTAGTCTCTTAGAGCAGGGCTCCATTGTCAAATCTGTAGCTCCAGAATAACTGAAAGAATTGCCCTATTATGCTTCCTTTCACCGTCTATCCTGTTGGAACTTATGTAGTCCTCAACTTATGACCAAAGTTGAGCCCAAAATATATGTTGCTCAGTAAAACAGTTAAGCTTTTCTTGTCATAGTTGTATGTGAATCACTGCAGTTGTTCAGCTTGTGACAGGGTTGTTAAGTGAATCTGGCTTCCCCATTGAGTTCACTTGTCAGAAGGTCGCAAAAGGTGATCACATGACTCCATGTTCTGACCCAAACCTTGTTCCAAGTCAACAAACACCCAACAGAGATAAAAGCAAAAGCTTTTAATGCTTCTCTGCGAATTCCATTAATTCACGGTTAAAAGGCTATTAAAACTAATTGTCTCTGATAAGAATGAGCCTGGCCAAGGTTGTGCAAGGCTGCCAAGAACACTAGATAAAGTTGCCAAGAAATATTCCAAACAAAAAGTCTGGGTGGGAAATCTAGAGCTTTCCAGGTGTTGCTGGACTACAACTTCCGCTTACTGCACCATTGGCTAAGTGCAGAGATAGATCAGCACCACCTGGAAAAGACGGATATTTCCCACCTTTGAATATTACTCCATGCTTAAAAAAAAAACCCAAATCCTTGATTATTTCTGTTAATTAACAACCAGGCCTCTGGCATCATGATAACTTAGTCACCAGAATTTTTTTTAAAAAAGTAAAATAATAAAATACCATACAATTGTAAACCAGAATAAATTTATTTGGTTTTTAGTGCATCATTGCTTTTTTAACGAACTCAAAACAGTGAAATATGCAAAAGACTAATAATCCTGAAAAGAGGAGAAAATATATGTAACTAGCTCGATACCCATGCTTTTGCTGTGAAACTGTGCGGTCGGGCTTAGTTTTTGGGGAGGAAAATAAGGGGAAAAAATTTCTGCTTCTGCCTACCAGCATCCATCGGTATTCATCTGGCTAGCGTCCTGTCAGTGTGCGGGAGAGTTGAGAGCTGTTTGGAAACTGAAACAGTATTTGCTGTGTGAGCAAGGAGCTTGGGTGTGGCTTAGCTCAATTGTTCTGTATTAAAGCTGTTTCGTGCTGTGAAAGTGAAACAGTATTTGCTGTGTGAGGTGGGGAGGGGGAGTAGAACTCCTTAGCATCAGAGCATGTTAATAACAATATATGAAATACTAATGCTCTGTGATAGTCATTTTGAAAAAATCATTTCTTAGTGAGCACCTAGAAACCAAGAGGAACGTACGTGCCAAATTTCAAGTTTGTAGGCTTTACAGTTCTGGAGATTTTGTGACGGTGCGTGAGTGGTATTTCACTTTTATAGAGAGAGATTTCTCTTTTTTTCCTGAAATGAATCAGTGTAATGTTGTGGTTTATCACAGTAAAAACAACTCTCTTCACACAGAAAGAATTTATGTACTTTGGGGCTACTCTGAGAGGGAATCAGATGTGATTCTGTGGCATATCGCAAGCCTGGGATATCTCAGAGATGTCAAGCAGAAATCCAAGCTGCCTCTGAGTTTAGCCACAGGATGGAGCTATAAGCAAATTGGCCAGACCAGCAGGAAGCATTTAGCCCAGACAATAATGTTAGAAGGGAAGCTGGTTTTAGTTTCCTTTTCTAGTTTATTTTACGGTTGCCAAACCGAACCTTGAATTTTTCTGTTCCCTGGGGGTCAATCCTGTATATCAAAAAAATGTTTCACAGCAGATCTAGGAGCCTGAAAGGCTGGGAGCATCCCTGAACTTTGATGTCGCTTAAATTCAATCTGAAGTATTTTGGAGGAAAAATATGCTCCTATATTGATATTAATCTTTTCATGTCTCGGCTGAGGAACTATTTCTTCCTCCTTGCACTTGAATAGGCTATTTAGCTGACAGGAAATGTCGACTTATTCGATTTTGAGTTTCCTTCAGCATTGTAGAAGCTCATAAGGTCTTGGGCAGTATTCAAAGACCACTTGTGATAATGCAAGGCTAGGGTCTGTCAAATTGAATTGTGTGATTGTAATGGTTGATGGAAAAGAATAATCTTGCCTATAAAGGGTGGATCAGCTCTAGGACCATTCATGAATGGGACTGTTATACCACTTTACATGGGTGCATTTGACATTACGATAAACCAATTTTTTTTTTCATTCAATTTACATTGTTGCCCACATAACATATGACTGAGAATAGTGTACACCTTAAAACAACATATTTATTTATTTTAGATAATTTATATAAATTTATATTATTTATATTATAATGGGATAGTATCAAGATCACATGAAGGGGTAGTACTGATTCATACTATGTACTTTGGTAAGACAGCACCTGGAGTACTATGTCCAGTTTTGGTCATGACAAAAGGAAAAAAGATGTCGAGACTGTAGAAAAAGTGCAGAGAACAATTTATTAGTGAATGGCCTGCCTTCAGACCTTGTGGATGCTTCATCACTGGAGGCTTTTAAGAAGAGGCTGGACCAGCCACTTGTCTGGAATGGTATAGGGCCGTGATGGTGAACCGGTGGCACGCAGAGCCATTTGTGCGGGCATGCAAGCGCCAGCCAAACTTTCCTGCACTGCACATGTATACACTTCCCAGCTGATTTTCAGCTCATTTGAGGCTGTTTTCGCCCTCCCAGAGGCTCAAAGGAAGCCTCGGGAGGCCGAAAAAGAGGCCTTCTGGAAATACCGGAAGTGCTGAAATGGTCCTGTTTTCAGCTTCCCGAGGCTTCAAAGGCTTCCCTCAAGCCTCCGGGAGGGCAAAAACGGCCTCAAATGGGCTGAAAATCAGCTGAGAAAGCACACTCATGTGCAGTGCAGGTAAGGGGATGAGGCAGAGGTGTTGCGTGCGCATGCGCGGGGGGGCGGGGCACATTGCATTGTGGGTGCTGGCACGTATGTGCACGCTTTTGTCACACCACAACAAAAAGGTTCGCCATCACTGGTATAGGGGCTCCTGCTTGAGCAGGGGGCTGGACTAGAAGACCTCCAAGGTCCCTTCCAACTCTGTTAAAATATCTGTTAAAATATCATAAACTATAATAAGACAAAAAGACAATTTCACCAGAGCCAATTCAGCTACACCACAGCCAATTCCGCAAACAATCAATCTGGATAGATTTACAAGACTCCAAATCTTACGAGTGCTGTAGCTGCTACCTCCTGTTATATTTTGTTACATAAGATTATAATTTCAATTATTGTTCCTGGTTGGGATTGCAAAGTACAGTTGTTCTAAAACACAATATATCCTTGAAGAACTTCAGGGGTCACCTGCAAAAGGTGCCAATTTGACCAGGCCAAAAATAAAATAAAATATGGCCAGTATTCAAAGCATACTGTGACAGAGATCTGAGTCCAAATGATTTATATATGTTGCCTTATTACAGTCCTTAATGAAAATAGACAGATGCCTAAAGAAAGACACTGGAAACCATGGAGGATGGTTTTAATGGTGGAACTGGACCACGTGGTTTACGTTCCTGGACAAAAATGAGCACAAAAATGTGTGAGAGAGGGAGAAAGATTTATACTCTCTGTTGGGCTTTGAACTTACTTCCTGTTCCTGTGGCAAGAAATGGATCCTGATTGGTTGTCAGACTCCCCCTGGGTAGCTTGGTTGAATCTTGCTGGGTGATGCAAGCTTCCCAGGTGCCATGTGGTGAGATGGGTAGAGGGCTAATCCTATCATGTCCTGAACCCATCACCCTGGAGCTGGTGGAGAGGGGGGCAGGGAGCTGCTTTGTCTGTAAAAACATGTTTCTCCTTTTCTCATCCAGGGAAATACTATATTCTGCCTTTTTAATATTTCCTGGAATATTTCATTCTTCTAGGAGAGGGGTGGGTGCTAACTTTCTATAGTATCACTTTTAATTTTAAAAGGGGTTTTGGATTCTTATCCACTTTTGGAGAGGCAGCTTCTTTTTCCTAGCTAATTTTATGAGCCGATGCACCTTAAAGATTTATAAATTCTGCATCTTCCAGAAATCTTGTCCACACCATCCAGTATGCCTAGTTGCTCACTCACATCCTATTTTCTTGAGGTGCAAAACTTTTATTGAAGCCAAGGGAATGAAGTAATACACATTTAGGATCGACCAATCTGGGAAGCAGAGTGTAAGAGTGGCATGCACACTTTCTGTGGTTCAGTCTTGCTGTCTGCCCTAAA